TCTCTCTCTCTCTCTCTCTCTCTCTCTCTCTCTCTCTCTCTCTCTCTCTCTCTCTCTCTCTCTCTCTCTCTCTCTCTCTCTCACTAGTGTGTGTGTGTGTGTGTGTGTTGTCATATTCGCTGTGTGTGTGTGTGCATGCGCATGCTAGATAATCTTATACACTAGTGAGAATGTGGCAGAAAGACCACTCAAGTGGATGAGTATACTAAATTGACATGCTTGCTAGAGGCCATACAGCAGATGCGCGGCTTCTAACGGCATCTCTCTTTCTTCTTTGCCATTTTCTCATTGTGTCGCTATAGTCTTCATCAGTCTCTCTTCTTTGTTGATCTCTTTAGACTTCCAAAAGCACAACAGTGGACTGCGTTAAAGGTTCACACCTACAGTAGCTTCATCCAAGATCCCCGGGTCCATCTAAGGCTGAGCTACGGGATATTTGCAACAGCGGTTACCCGAAACACAGCAACAGAGTACAGAAAATGGGTTCGTGTGGGAACTAGAATGACAGACATCCATTAAAAAAAAAAAAAAACAAAGAATGACAGACATCCATTACAATGGAGAGCGACATAGTGAAGTAATGGCCCCTGCACAAGAATGACCGATCCTGGCCATCATCCACAGTACCTAACACCAGGGCATTTGGAACCGCTGCAACATGAACAAAGCTCTGCAATGCAGCAATGATCTTCCTACCTCAGGGCTATGGCAGAAGCAGTCGTTTCTGCACAGTCACATCCACTATGCCATGAGAGTCATGATAAGACCGATCTCTTACATCCTGACATTACGAGTGTAAGAACAAAGTGAACAACAGCAAGGTTGCTACAGCCTGCAATCCAATGAACTAGCCAGAGTGAAGCGGTGAAGTTGAGGGACGAGACGTGGGAACGGTGGGAGGAGAAGGATTGGCAAGCTGTCGCTACCTGCGTCCTCTTGGATTGTCTTTGACTCGACACAAAGCTCATGTTGTTTCATGGACTTGATCCTGTGATCTTGTGTTTGTGTGCATACTCACCCATAGCCGGAGTCCTGAGAAGCTAAGTTCTGTGTTCCAATCAGCAAGCATCGCTGCATCGGAGTTTGGGTTGGACGAGTTCCTGGGTCTCTCCATGAGGGGAGAGAGGTAAAAGGAGACGGAGAGTGGAAAGGAGAGCGGGAGAAAGAACTATATTGCCTACCAATCTTCTGTCATGCACTGTTATCCACACACGCGTTCTGAGCACTGAAAGCAGTTATCATCAGAACGATGATGATTTGCTTTCTTAAACCACCAGTACATGCCATACATCGGTCGCGGGACCCTTTCGGAGGCTGCCCACTGTCGATGTATTTCATCAACGGCACATGAGCCTCCGGAATTTTAGGAGAGGCTCAATCGGATTCTCAACTTGGCTGGCAGCCTGGCGCCATGTACTAGTGCTTTGACCGAAAAGAAAAACGGGAAAAGAACTTTACAGAAGACGAACAAAACAAAGCAGCTTTAAACCTCCATGGAAAGGACCCTTTGGGGGGCTGCGCCGGCTTCCAGCGTCACTACAGATGTCAGCCGTTTCAAAGACAATAAAATTTAACTGAATGGAAAAATACCACATACATTTTCTGTCCATACAGTCATTAGCAGCTACCTTGAAGTGACCATCAGTAACTCGCGAATGCTACGCACATCTTCGACATCTGCGGGCGAAGTAGTCGCTGTGCTCGCGAAGCTCCCTTTTCCCCTTCTCCTCTTTCTGAACATGGTCATCACTGAGACGTTTGAAAACTCCAGCTGCCCCAAAACTTTTGCAACAACCGACACCAGAAGCTCTATGAAGCAGCTCTTCAGAGCATGCGTGTTCTCCAAGGCATTGTCCTCCTGCAATCCGCTGCCCTTCTGACTCAGTGGAGGACTTTCATGCATGCATACAACCCCCAACCCGTTACCGAGCAGCTTCAACAATTTCTGGAAAAATACACCCGCAAATTCATTCTGCGTCCCGCCTTTCAGAGACAGCACACGGTACACAACACCAAACAGTTGCTCCCACATGTTTTGCACGAGATCCAGAGCTTCGTTCTCCTCTGCTTTGCCTGCAAAGCTGCATTGCAAGGGAGCATCCCCCTGTTTCGTCTGACCTTCCAAAGCAACAGACAAAATCCGGAACGGCATTAGCAGTGACAAGTGGACAAGGTGGGAGCCACCCTCTCCTCTCCCATTGCTAGCTGATCCACCACCGACCTCGTTTGCCTTCTCCAGAGCAACTCTTACATTCCGTGCGAATCCCACCCACACGGTCAGCAAGAAATCGACATCACTTCTGCCAAGCTCTTCTCCACAAGACTGACTTACCTGATTCGTCGCCCACTCGAGCAGCTTCATGCACGCTAACGCATTCCCACTAACATCATGACCGCTGCTCCCAGCTTCCATCAGCTGCGATACCCTGTCTGCAATCCAACTCCTCACCATGGGATCGCTGCGGCACAATCTGATTCCTCTTTGCAACCAGACGGCTGCTAAGTAAACCAAAGGGGTTACAGGTTCTCCCAGACCCATGGGCAGATCGCAAGGCTTATTTGATCCCCCATCTGGAGCCGGCATGCTGGGCACATTTTCACCACCGCTCCCACCTCCTGCATCGGCCTCTTTCTGCAACCCCAGCCCTCCTTCCGTCAACGGCAGCCGGTAGAATGACGATGCAAGGACTGTTGATTTCAGTTCGGTAATCATTGCCTCCATTATCATCCATGTAAGTGTAATGGACGGATGTGTCCCGTTCACCAACGACACCGTCCAGTGCAAGACAGACTTGACCGCAGCAACATGCTCTTCTGTGGGTCGCACTGACCCCTTGCCTTCTTGCTCCACACGCCTGAGCAGCAACGTAAAGAGGCGAACTGAATCCCACACTGGCACGACGTCTTTCGCCTGATCTGCTCCCTCCAGCTCGTCACCTTCTGTCTTCATCAGCACTGTGATCAAATCCAAAATCCGAGAGATTTCCGCCGGATCCCACATAGCACTCTTACCCGCTTCAGTGCCCCCTTTCCCCGATAAAGGGGTACCCATGACATCTAATCCCGCTTCCTCTCCTGCTCTGAGTTTAGGTGACGCAGGTGGGAGACCGATTGCTGACCGATTCTCTCTATTGGTTGGACTTGCACACGGCTCATGGAGGGGTTGGAGTGGCGGGGTAGAGCATGCCCATTGGTTTCTGCCTACAATCAGGTCCTCAAAGCATGCCAGCACCTTACCGAAAACAACTTTATCCCCTCGCTGTGCACCTTTCCGGAAAATCATCTCATACATTGGGGAGGCCACCACAGCAAACACAGGGGGAGTCCTCACCCAACTCCCTAGGCATTCCACTAGGTAAATCCAGTTGCGAAGCGCGGCCAATCGGACAGCAGCATCCACATCATTATCAATTGAGTTGATCAGAGGGATCATCAGGAGGCGAAGGCGCTTGACAGACGGGGTAGCATGAGTGGCCGTATCGGGCCGCAGGGAATTGCACGGCGAGCCTTTCATGAGAAAGGATTTTTCAGGGCTGGCACAACCATCGAGTGAAGGAGCTGCACAGGGCGGAAGCACAGGAGTTGCAGGCGACATTGGTTCACCGCCATTAGTGACCAGGTTGGCAGATATAAGACTGTCAATCAGCCCCTTCCAAGCTACCTGTGACCCAAGTCGCACGGAGACATTCTTGCTTAACATTGTCGCTTCGGGAATCTTCAGCATCTCGTTGATGAGCATTGATCTATCCACTAGTCTGGATCCCAGCAAGAGCACAATCCAGGACCACGCCCTTACTCCGCCCAAAGCCTGAGAAGGTGATTTTGACACCAGCGACTTCAACTGCATCAACAGGGAGGATCGCACATCTGCTGCCAATATCTGTTCAGCACAGGGGAAGAAAATGTCACATGCATTTGGAAACAGACTTTAATAGTGGCTTTGCTTGACGAAACAACATCATCCTTTTGAAAGTATGAATGTCACTGGATTGAATCATTGCACTTAAGTCTGTTGGCGCGTGTTGGCGTGTGTTGGCGTGTGTTGGCGTGTGTTGGCGTGTGTTGACGTGTGTTGGCGTGTGTGTTGGCTGCAGCAAGGAAAAACGCATGCCAAGAGTCGATTCCCCGAAAGGCCAAATGACAGGACTGCTTTGTCCTTCGGGAAATCCATAAGAATTGGAACGATACAAACGAGATTTGCATGGCCCCTGCACAAGGATGACGCGAGTGAGTGAAAAATACGGTCCAAATTGTGAAAAAGAAAAAGACAGACTATTCTGCTGTGCATGTGAGTTTAAACTTTAAATCGCTACAAACATCGGCAGGGAAGGTTCACAGATTGCCTGTTGTCTAGTTCACAGATGGACTACCTTCTGCACTGGACCATATCAGCAAAAATTCCAAAAAGAATTTAAGAATTAAAAAACGGCAGAAATATTTGACTAGATGAATGGCAATTTAACAAACCAAAACTCCTTCAGCTGTTCAGATCTACCACCGCAGAAACCCCCCCTAATTTCAAAATTTCACCCCAGGACTCGTGGCATGACAAGGGCGATTTCAAATTTCCAACCCATGACTTGTGTAATGACGAAGACTCACCTTTGTTCATGACTGACAAGTTGACGGACACGTCAATTTCTCATTCCCGAATCCAGATACATAATTGAAGCAATATCTGATGATAATGGCACTAAATGACCAGTCCCAGCTTCGGTGCATAGATGTGGATTACTGTGCTTAAACCACCAGTACCCCACGGGGTCTTAGGCCCCCTCTGGGGAGGCTCTGATGCAAATGCATATGGAGCGGCGCACCGGTTCAGTCCCCGTGTTAACGGCCTAAAAACGTGGAGGTACTGGTGGTTTAAATCACCAGTACGGCCGGAGAATTCGGATGAGCCTCTCCGAAAAGTTAGGGGACTCGGGACAGGGCTCGCCCAGGGTCGGACGGTTTTTTTTTTGTTGTTGTTCAGGGCTGGGCCTAGAGCCAGCCCACGACATGGGACAATTTTGTTTTCTACTGGCCCTTTGGACGCCCTGTCCCAAGCCTCCGTAATTTTAGGCGAGGCTCAATTGGATTCTCAACTTGGCTGGGGGGGGCCATGTACTGGTGGTTTAAGGTTCAACTGGACTTGGATAGATGTAGGAATGGGGTTAGGTAGTATGAGCCTGTGCGGCATATTTCAATGATATTGGAGAGAAACAAATATAGGTAAGTTTTTCAAATATATCGTCGCAAACCGAACTGCCCGGTAAACCGTAGGCAGAAAGAGAGAATATATATATATATACCTCCTGATGAGTCGGTGAAACTCCGACGAAACAGTTTGTCACAGCCCCTCGTTTGTTGTCCTCTTCTCCCTCTCTGCCTACGGTTTACCGGGCAGTTCTATTTGACGATATATATATCGT